TGTGGGAGGGGAGCTCCTCTTTGAGACCCCAAGTTCTATTGCTGTGGGGCTGAGCTGGTGCTTCATACCTTCTGTCTTGGGGCTTTAAATGTCATTGTCAGACTTTGTGAAAACTCCCCTGAGGCTTTTCTAAAGATGTGAATGAATGCAGAAGGCCACTCTCCTTCACCAGCTGCTCACTACTGAAGCTTAAAAGTGATTATAAACATTTTGCCAGCCTCCCTCCCATCCTCAACCCAACCGTACCTCCTTCTGGAGTGGAAAGTTTCCCCCAAACTTCTCAGGCTCAAGGGCACTGGAGGAGAAAGGCTCCCACAGGAGATGGACTTTGATCATTCATGTGGGAGAGTTTGGCATCTTTGTACCCAGCCAGGTGTTATTTATGTCCACTCACCTCCCTCTGTTGCTACATCTATAACCAACAAAATCCAGATGGAAAAAAACAGCAAGGTCCAGACATGACTGAGTTTTTTGTCTTTTTTGTTTTGTTTTGTTTTGTTTTGTTTGGGATGTGAAGTTTTGTATGTCAATCAAATAGAGTTTGTTGGAAAAGTCATCCCCTGAGCAAATATAGTCTGCTTCCCAGATATTACTAAGAAAAAGACAGTATTTTATCCAGAGAGAAGAAGGTCCATACCATAGAACTGAAAACTCATAATTAAAAAGTCAAAGTAACGAAACTTGGATCCCTCTTCCCACATGTCTTCTATCGCATACAGCTTCCAAAGATTGCTAGGTGCTTCTAACAGGAGCCAGGGTTTCTAAGTGACTGTTTAGGCATTCTTGCCCTGACCCTGGAGTAGGCAATGAGATGTAGGTTGCAGCTTTCTTCAAGTTGCAATCAACTGAACATTGAGATCAATACTTCTTCAGGTGCACAGAAGTGAGAAGGTATGCTAGTGCTTATGTGCCCAAAGAAAATACACCTCTCCTCAGAGGTTTCATTTTAAGCCTGGGAGGCCCGGGAAAGTGGGGAGCCAAACTGCATGATCTTAGTGACCTTCCCACTCTCGTGTCCTCTTGCTCCAGGACAGTGCTGTGACTCAAGAGCAATGTTTGGAAGAGAGAGTAAAAGACTGGTTGTACTGTGATGAAAGATCCACTGTTTGATGAAACTGTTCTGAGGTCCACATCTCACCTTTTCTCTGCTGTACTCTGTCTCTGGTTGGGGTGGAGACAGTGTGCAGACAGGAATCAACACAACATACCTGAAGTTCCTCTCCACAGAAAGGCCTCCTTTGCAAGGCTGGCCCATGGCTGATATCTGGGAACTTGGATTTCAGGAGTTGTCTCATTTTTCCCTAAATGACAAGTGTGGCTCTTTGCACCTACACGGTTTGCACAGACAATGTGGTATATGGTGAGCACTCTTCACCTGCTTTACTTCTGAGTGTAGAGTTTGGTATGTGCCTATGTGACTAACGTCAAATGACAACACTGGGCTCTAAGTCTCCAATTATCTCCATGGTAGACAACATTTCACACATGTTGTCACACCTTTTTGCTGGGGGGAGTTAAACAATTCCCATGTGACTCTCATGGGAGGGGGCTCTTGAAAACTTGTGCCTGATTTCTTTCTGTCTTTGTTCCTTTGCTGGCTTTGATTGTATCTTTTCACTGTAGTAAGTTACAGCTGTGAGGATGACAGCCTGGTGGTTTCACTTTGTGAATCACTGAATATGGAAGTGGTCTTGGGACACACACCCCCAACATAGGTGTGTGGGTGCAAACTTCACAGGTCATGTTTCTCCAACTTTTTTTGTCAGCTGACTTCAGCTGAGTGCAGCAAATGGGAGACATGGAAGGAGAGAGAGAGACAAGTTAGGATCATTATTCCCTCCTTTTTGACCTCAGACAGTGATTTTGGTAATGACTGAATCTCGGGTGGTTCCAGTCCCTGCCACATAACCCCAGCCTTGTGCTATAATGACAACAATTATCCCTGCTGTTGCCAATGGCTGAATTGACTTACTTTCCCTTATTTAGCTTCTGTCTCTTCTATCACCCATGCTACCAATCCTCTGTGTGAAATTCCCTCTTTCAAAAAATACCTAAAGTGGTCTTTATTTTCCTGGCAGGACCCCACCTGCTACTTTCCTACTCTGTGCCATGCAGCAGATGTTCAGAAATAAAAGATACTGTAGACCTCAGAGCCTACACACACACACAGCTGCTTCTGCAAAAGTCACATTTTTGGCACTGCTCACGGTTTACCAGATGGCCGAAAAACTTCATTCTGATTTCTAAGTCACAGAACTGTGAGGAATGGCTCTGTAACATTGATGGTCTTCAACCACGTGTGAAGACTTAGCATGTTCACTCTCTTAGTGACACTATTTGCTAGGCACAAGTTTCCTTTCAATGCATCTGGGTTGGTAGTTTGGAAGAGTTAGAAAGTTACCCAGCATATGTGTATGCTTACAAAATAATCAGTGTCCCTCAGGCCAGAATGACATTGTGGTTGTGGTTGTGAGGTTGACAAGCCTTTCCTGAAATGCTCAACACAGCCAGCAGGACCTGGCAACTGTACAACCTCATCTGGAGGGTGCAAGGTTGCCCACTCTTCCCACATCCCACATGGGCAAGGGTAAACAGCAATGCAGCACACTCAGGCTTGATGTTTGCCAGAACTACCAATGTTTGGTGACACTTTCTCTGGGTCCTTTATCTACCACTCAGAGAAGAGTATGGAAAAGATGAGCTTTGAGTAATTGAATGGACAGCAGCCTCTCACTGGGGAAGTGTTGGATTCTTTACTCTCTTGTCTAATGAGGATATAGCCAAAGAAACAGAAAATGGTCAGACAGTGTAAGAGGCAACATGAAAAGGCAAACTCCATGCAAAGCATCTGAGCAATTTTAGGTTGAGATTTGGAGGGTAAATAAAAAACAGTCTCTTGTTGAAAGAATGAGAAGGAAGAGGCACAGGACAAGAAGTTCACTATGACAGCAGCATAGAACAGGATGAACAGGGTGCAGGTCAAGTTGGAGAGGGAATAGTGTGTCAGAGAAAGTGAAAGACATGGGGCTGGAGGGTAGAGCAGGGCCTGGACTATGAAGCACCTTGTCAGCTGATGCTTGGAATTTGTAGTAAGAGCAAAAAGAAATAGCAACAGAAAGACTTTGTTCAAAGTATTGGATTTCAGATTTGATTTCCACAAAGGTCATTCAGGACATACTGTGGAGAATAGATTAGAAGGGGTAAATAGGTATATTCAAGAGATATTTAAGAAGTAGAGTAGAAAATATCTGTCAGTGGTTTGGATTTGGGGACTTAAGGGGTGAGAAGGAAGTATCAACAATGATGCTACATGTTTGGCTAGGCAACTGGCTGTAGGGTGATGGCATTTATTGAAATAGGGAACTCCTAAAATGACCCAGGTTTTCAGGGAAAATTATAAATCTCATTCCAGACATGATTAATATGAGTTATCATTGGGACATGCTGAGTAAAGATGGCTGGTGGGCAGTTAGGTGGGGGAGTTTGGCATCCTGTAAAATATCATGGCTAAAGATCTAGATTTAGGAGTGTCTAATATAGATGGAAATTGAAGACATGGGAGTTGCTGAGATTATCAAAGGAGCTTCTGCAGCACTGAGGACATCTCAGAGAGTGCAGTGTCTTAGAAGCCAGGGAAAATGGCCTTCACACCTAGAGTGGGCACTGGAGTTCAGTGCTTCCAAAGGTTAAGTAACTGAGAATTGAATCCTGTCCTTTGGATTTAGCTCAGGCCATTGAATGATGACCTACAGTTTCAGCAGAATGATGGAGACCAGAGCCAAGTTGAAGAAACATGCAATGAAGAGGAAGAAAAAGAGGAACAAGGGCTGGGTGGATGTGGGATGAAGAAGGGTTTCAAAACTCTTTCAGAGACTTAACTTCAAGTTGTGTGCATGCTGATGGGAAGCAGCAGCTAGAGGGCAGGAGTTAGAGACTCAGGAGGCAGAATGGATGTACTCCTGGGCAGCACAGCAAGGCCTGGAGAAGAAGAGCAAATGGGGCACCTAGGGGCATACTTGGCCACAGACAGGGGTGTGTGAATCATTCCCATGTTAGTAACAGGAAGAAAGAGGAAAAAGATTTGTAAGGTTGCAGGTAAGTTCATAGATTTGGTAGCAGAAAATTGAGAGATTGTATAACAAATGGTGCCTCTCTCTCTCTCTCCCCCACCCCCCGCCACCGTCTCTCCACTGCCACTCGCAAAATTAGACTAAGTAGCAGGGCCAGAAATTTGGAAACAGTAAAAGAAGGTTATAAATGGCCATGACTGAAAAGAGTAGTATTTAGAGATACGAAGACTCAGAAGACAAATGGAAAATTTTAGAAAAAAAATTTCTTTTTTTCCAATTATTTGAGATAAACCAAAATAATTTTCCAAAAATAGTGCAATTTTCTAATTTTTGTGGCACTCTTAAAAGTATTTACTCATTTTCCCTCCAGCTGGGCACCCCCTCCTACAGGAAGTCTGTGGTTAGGTGGTGGCCGTGGCTCCCATGGGTGGTTCAAGAATACAGACCATGTCTCTCAGCTTTATTTATACAAAAAAAGACACATTATTCTTGCTGTATGCATGGTCACAGCTGTCTGTGAGCTGTCTGCAGAAGTGCACACCTTCCTTTCTGCCAAGCCCCACTAACCTGGATGGCAAAACTCTAGACCCTTCCAGCCCTCCTCACCCAAGGGAAGAGGGTGGGGTGTGGGGCACTACAGGGTCATTAGCTGGTCCTTCCAGCCAGCAAGTGAGAAGGGAGAGGCACAACTTGAGGTGGGGAAGATGGGGAGAAGTTGGGTTAGGAAATTGAGAGTAAGGGGGCCAAGGGTGGGAGGAATAGTGCCTGCCAGAATAACAGAGCAGGACAGAAGAAGTAAATAAAAAGTCCAGAAGAGGCTCACTTTCTCCAGCTGTCAAGAAAGGGGAGGAGAAAACCCTGTGGGATGGGAGAGAGGGAGGGAGCTGTTAGGAAGTTATTTAAGAGCCAACTTTCTTGTCTGTTTTTTCTGTGTCCTTTTGAGGAAGTACCCTAGAGACGCACAAAGCCAGCCCGTGCTAGGACACCTCAGGAGGGGACTGCAGGTAAGCAGCTGTCCCTTCCACCAGCATAGCCAGAGCCCTGTACCCAGAGGCTGCCCAGGGCCTGCTGTGTCTATGCCCCTGAAACAGGGTCCCTCAGGGGGCTTCTGGGAGTGCCAGGGGTTGGGGGTCCAAGGCAGCCCCACTTGTTCATTTCCCCCACTCTTGGTCCCTAACCCCACATTTACCCAGACACTCTTCTAGGTGGGACTTCTCTCAGGCATTCCATGAAGCTTTCATGAAGGCACTGCTTGCTAAGAAGGCCACTTAATGGGAGTAGGGGTATTGGGGATCTTCCTCGGGGGAGCAGACTACGGAGAAGGGACACAAATGGTTGAAGACAGGGTGAGGTAGGGCCAGATAAGAACACCTGCTTGGCTGCATTGCCATGAAGGACTGAACTTAAGCACCTTCCCGTCCCTCAGACCTGGGAGAAGGGGAAGCTTCTGTCCACCTGGACAGACTCCCCAGTTCTCTGCTTTGTGAGTTCTCTCTCCCAACAGGCTACTGCATAGTTGCATAGTTCTGTGTTCTTCTCTCCCAAACCATTCCCTCCCCACCATGACCCCATAGCCTACCCTTGCTGTTCTCCACCAGAGGTCTGTCATTTCATGCCTTCTCTCCATCCTTAACCCTTTTCTCTCTTCTCCTTCCCTGTCTCCCTAGTTCACTAGAGACTGTCTATAAATGTGTCTGTAGCTATTTATGGATACTTGTTCAGATTGTATACTTCCAAACAGTGCTGTCTTCTCTCAAGACCAAATACCTGAAGAAGTGGTTCTTTTGTCTCCCGCTGTGTTGCCTTTTTTTAACATGTTTCTGGAACAATCTCTTCTAGTTGCCTCTGTAATGGTAGCTCCTCATCTTTTGAGGGTGTGTCTGTTTTTTAAAACAACCAAATCACCAGGAGTCTTGATTGAGTAATCCAGGTGATCAAGGGCACACTTCACTGGGACCAGAAACAAAGTCTCCCTTCATTTGGTCAGTTGGTCAACAAGCAGTAATTACTAGGCCCTGACAGTAAGGTGTGTGGTGTTCACACTGGCTCTTTGCCTGCACAAATTCCAAAGGAAGGGGAAGCAGGCTTGGAGCCAGGGCACTGTCAACCCCACTGACCAAGTAAATTTAGAGAATGGGCTATTTACAGCCCTATTTAATTTGTGATGTGTCTCCTTCTCACCAACCGAAACTCCATCACTCTTATCCTGTTCCTTCTGTCCTGGTTCCTAAACAGTTACCACTTTCTCACCCTACTGAGTTTACGTATGAATTCTGTTGGGCTGGATCCTAACCCCTACTAGACCAGAAGCTTTCTAAGGCATGAATCCTTCTGTCTTATTTTTGATATATCCCAAGTGTCCAGACCACAGTCTGGTCCATATGCACCCTCAATCAATATGGGTTGAAGGAAATTGCAAACACAAATGCTGGGGAAGACTCCACTTATCTGTACATGGCTGTCTGAGTTTTCTTCAAAAGAACTTAGGCCTTATAAGTCCATGTAAAATGGGCATGTGTACCTATACACAACAGTAAACATTTCTTACAAAAATATTGCCTTAAGAGTAATGAGAAAGAAAACTTGCTCCCCAAAATCTTTTACAGTTTTCATTTCTTCTAATCAACCCCTTTTCTTCTGCGTTCCATATGTTTGATAAATCTTCCCAAGATTCTTGAAGAACTCTACTTTATTATTAGAGTAATCCTTATTGCCACTTTTCAGTTTTTATTTACATGAAATTCAGAATGTGTTGCTCAGGTGCTATCATGCACAGTTATGCTTCCTTCTCTATTTTTGAACCCTTGTGTCAAATGTAACTCTTTTCTATGCCTCCTTTTTTAGCTTCCAAGGAGCTTGTAAAACTGACCATGTCAGAGACCCCCAGGACCACCTTTGGAGGCAGGAGAGCTGTCCCCCCCAACAACTCCAATGCCGAAGAGAACGACCCCCCCACTATGGAGCTGCAGGGCCTGGTGCCCCGAGGCGTCAACCTGCAAGGTACCGGCACCTTCAGCCAAGGCACAGCTGGCCTGGTCCCTCCTCCCCATGGTGCTGGGTCAACACCGCATGTCTCCACTGAGCTCCCCTAGAAGAGGACCCCCGACCAGTCTCTGGTTTTAAAGAAAGGCCTCCAAAACTCTCTTTTGAGTGGTAAAAGTACCAAAGACCTGATTATTGCCCCAGTTCTGCCACTTAATAGTTTAGTAATCTCAGGGAAGTTACCTCTACGAAACAAGGGCGCTGATTTATTGAGGCCTCTTCCAGTCCTACTATTCTGTTTTTAAGAATGTCCTCTAGCTGGAAGTTTCCACTTTCTAAATATTGTGGCTGTTTTGATTGTCTGGCTTGACCTCCTTCCTTCTCCCTCTTCCCTCCTCTATTTTCTATCCATGGCTGTGAATTTCAGAGCTGACAAGAGATGCCAGACTCTGACAGTAATGGAGATGGAAGCCCTCTATGTCTCTCCAGAGTGGCCTGGAGAGCCAGCGAGGCAAGCTGCTTTTTCTGCTCTTGCCTCTGCCAATCTCGAGGGATCTGCTCTGGAAGCAGCTGCCAGCGTCTGACCTCCTCTCAGCCCTGTCAGCTGTGACAGGGCCCAGGTGCCAGTGGTGCTTGGTGACACAGACACCATTCACTTGGCCAGGCAGGAACATGCAGGCTCAGGTCTCTGAATGGTATCTAGCAAGGAGCACTTTTTGTCAGCAGCACACAAGTACCAAGACCCACTTTTGCTCCTGAGGGTGCTCAGTGCTAGGTTTCACTCGGGGGTAAGCTCCTACTTGTTGGGGTAGGACCCAAGGTCACCGTGCAGTTAAGCTGCCTCATCAGAAAGAGACCCACTATTGAAAACAAAGGTAAGGACAGTGCTGATCCCCACAGGGCAGCAAGTCAGAACACCACCTGGATACTGTGGACGGCTTTGACTGTGCTACCTTGTGTCTAGATGATTTGATATCCAATTGTGAAAACAGAGAGATATTCACTGCCATCCATCAGACACCATCCAAATTTGGAGGAGGTGGCTCACAAAACATAGGGCATCTTCAGTTTAGTAGAGGAAGCAAGACGAACTTGTAAATGTGTGGTTCTGAGCTCTCTGTACCAGTGAATGCTGCACTCTCTAAAACTCCACCATTAGAGCCACAGAACTGAGTTTAAACAGATTTGCTAATCAACTCATCTAAATCCCTTTATTATAGGTTAGGAAATTGAGGACAAAGTAAGCAATTGATGTCCAATTCCTTCATTGCCCAGTGCAGCAGTCTGTGTGTGTGTGTGTGTGTGTGTGTGTGTGTGTGTGTGTGTGTTTTAAGAATACAAATAAATTGGAAAGTGTGCAGGTGTCAAATTATCAAGCAGGTTACCTTGATGTATGCAGCTTTCTAGCAAAATTCCTCTATGACAGAAGAGACCCTGGGCCCCAGGGAAGAGTGATGGAAGAAGTAGGCAGAGAGAACGGAGAGAGAGGCTCAGGTTCTTTCACTGAGGAGAACTGTGAAGCTGCGCAAAGACAGCAAGGTGTGGCCAAAAGCCCACTGGACCAGGACTCAGAAGGCCTGGGTTCCTGTTCCACATCTGCCACTCACTCATCCTGGGGCTCAGACAAAGTCATGTAACTGTCCCAAGCCTCAGTTTTTCCATAAGCAAATAGAAACAATACTTACCTCATGGTTGTTATGAAGATCAAATGACTAGTGCTTGTGAGAGTTCCTGACCCATACCACATAACTGATAAATGCTCATTTATTTAGCACATCAATTATCATACCTCTACATGGTCAGGAGCCCACTCCAGCTTCTAAGGCAAATGTGTAGAGCCTGGAGTCCCTGTGTATCTGAAACCTGAACAAAATGTTGTCACTAAGAAATCAAAACTGCCAGAGAACTTAAGCAGTGAGATCAATTGAAAAAGAACCTGGTTTTATTGTTTTTTGTTTATTTTTGGAGGCTGGGGTGGGAACTATTTTGAACTAAATTGTTTTGAAAAATCTGTCATTAGTTGCTTGGTAGTCATATGCCCATAACCTAACTGACATTCTGGGATACTTATTACAGGCCCTGACATAGGAGTATGAGGATCCAATGATTATTTGTAGAATGAATGAACAGTCAGTCACTTGAGAATTAGATGACCCATCAGTCATCAGCCCAAGAGTCATTAGGATCCTATTATTAATAAGAGCGTCTAGATTTTATAAACATGAATTAATTTAATATTTCTCACACAGATGAGCTAAGTGCTACATTCTTTGAGGGTAGGAGGGTCCCTGAACCCATGAATCATAGTATTAAGTCCCAGATGAGTAAGACAAAAAAAAAAAAAAAAAACAGCATGTAAACCATCTGATCAAATAGGTCTATCTCCTAATTTTCTTTTGCATTTCAAATTTCTGTTTAATTGTGTTAAAGGGTTTTCTGGCACTAAATATACCAATTTCTCCCCCATATCATCCCTGATAAGGCAGTCATGTGTTTAAATGCCACCTTCTTGCAATTCACTGAGTGGCCACTAGTGGCCTCCAAGAGGACTTATAGCTCCCTGATCCCCTTATCAGAACATGACTTTGGCTCCAGGAACACAAAGCCCAAATCGGACTCTTTCTTCTCATTTATTTAAATGGAGTCTTTTTCTAAAATGTCCATAAAGCAAGCTGCTCTTGTAAAATTGACCAAGAAAGGCAGAGAAACAAGCAGAGAAAAGGGGGAAAATGGTAGATTTTTCATTTCGAATAATCCTATGACAGGAAATGCATATAATATATATTAAGGAGGTGGGTATAATACCTTTAATTCACAGCTTTCATAATTACTTGGCTAAGAATTATTTTAGCCAAATACTCAAAATGTATAAACTTAAGTAAGGTTCCTCCCATACAGCAGCACAGTATTTAAGAAAAACAGGAATATTTGGGGTGACCGTGGAACCCTAGCCATGGGACCAGTCAGTCAGCAGTGGGGTTTGATGTCCATGTGTTTTCAAGGATCCTTAATACCTTCCTCTGAACTCCATTAGAGCTGAGAAAAGTATGTGAAAATAGCTTCAGACTGTTTGAATTTGCAACTATTTCTAATAGATTGTTCTGCACACACAGTTAGTGTTTCTGAAAATTTCTCTACAGTGTTCTTATCTCAAAGGTTATTTTAGCAGGAGATGTAATTCTCTGGAACACAACTTTATATTCTCAGGTTGGTTTTACTCTGAGGTATTAACAATAGGTGATCATTTGCAGCAGTAAATGTTAACACTTATTTGACAGGTCTAATGCACAGAATTCAAACTGCAAAGCAAGTCTGGACCTATTTTTAAAAATCAAATGCAGGCAGAATCTAGTCTTTATTAGGTCAGTGGGGTTTTGTATCTTTCTGAGCATTTCCTCCCTCCTACTACTCCATATCAGAACTGAATCAACTAATTAACTGGTTAATGATTAATTTGCCATTTGTACAGAGTAAACTTCTCTGGATTCAAGGTTATTGAAAGAACAAGAAAGGCATTCAAGGTGTGATTAAGAAACGATGTTGCATAGAGCAAGTTTATTTTTTCAGTTGGTTTAAGGAAAAACACTTAGTGATTACTACCTATGTGTCAGGAACTATGCCACACTCTCTCTGGGGACACAAAGATGAATAAGTCAGTCCCTGTCCTCAAGCAACTCTCTACCTAGTAGATGAAACAAGTTAAAGGAATGACTAGTGGTGCCAGTGGAGCAGGAAAGAAGGTGAGGAAGATGAATAAAGTTGTTTTAGGCAGACACGTGCACGGAATAGCATTTCTAGCATAGGGAACACTGTATATCAAGTAGTGAGGACAAGAGAGGGAGATGAGCCTGAGACAAGTAGGCAGGGATCACATCAAAGACTTACCTTTCCTCCTGCTTGAAAAGGATTCTAAATAACAGAATGACATAATCAGAATCATTTATTATAAAGGGAAATCACTCCATGAGGAAAAAATGGGGTGAAGGAAATGCATTTGAAGGCAATTGAGATACTTTGGGATAGAAAAAAATTGACCAGAGAGACTTCAGTCCCCGGAGAGGCTGTTAGCCTCGTTTTTCTTATTCTAGTTTCCTCTAAACAGCTGAATATGTCTTATGCATTTTAGGTGCAGGACAGTTTTAATAGCAACATTTAAAAAACACTATGCTGTTTAAGATAATGTTTTTAATCATTCTAGTTAATAATACTTTAAAATTATGGCTATCCAAAAGAAATATAAGAAAAGAAACTTTATCTTGTTGTTTTCACAAAAAACAGATCTATTTCCTCATGGATGGTATATATTTCTATACTTTGGAAATAATATTTTTTAAATGGCATTGAGAATTCAATTCACTTGGGAATTCCTAGGATGTGAACTTAAACATTTAAGTTATTTCAAGATTCCATCCATGACAGGTATAATCATTCTCTGAAGAGTATTTGTGTAACCTAAGGAGAATACAATCCACTTTTTACATATTAAGGAAAGGGTAGGAGGATGAGGAGGCAGCTGGCTCATGTGAAGAGATTTTTTTTTAACAGTACATTTTCTGATGTGTTTAGAATTAGGCTAAATTGTGTTAGGTAGACTTTCTTTTTTTTTTTAGCTGTCACTTTGAAAGAGTGAGCTGCCAAGTTTCCAGCTACAATATTTCTCTAAAAAACAAAAAAGTAGCTTAGCAATGAGTTGCTCCATTTTGCCAGGAATTGGACTTGGACAGGGAGAAGCAAATTAATTTCCTGTTTGTGGGAAATGGAGCTTGGGTGATGAGAAAGCTCTTTCAATCTAAACTATGTTTTGTTAAGCAATAAACAAAGCAAAAATCAATATGCTCACTTAACAGATGTATACCAAGTGCCTACTTGGTAGGAAGTGGCAACACTAAGAAAAACGAACAAACAAAAAAAATTATATTTGTAAATAAATCTATGCCTAACTTGATCCATGGGTCACTCTCCATGAGCAATGAAAGAAGTGTTGTTCAATCAGTGGTATTGGCTCATGCCCCAATATT